GAATTCTCCAGGCAAGAATAGTGGAGTCAGTGGGTTGCCACGCCCTTCTCCAGGGGATCTTCCCAACTCAGGAATTGAACCTGGGTCTTCCGAGTTGTCGGCAGATTCTTTGCTGACTGAACTACCAGGGAAGCAGAGCATATGGAGGTGGTATTGATGCTGTGAGCACAGGTTGTCATCCAGCAGGTTGGGCTCTGCTTGGGAACTGAGAGCCTGCGTTTCTCATCACCACCCAGGCGACGCTGATGCTGCTGTGTCCTGTGCTCAGCGCTCAGTCGTATCCGGCTCTGTGATTCCATCACAGAGGGTGATGGGGGGCTGGGGGGCTGCAGTCCCACAGGCTCCTTTGTTCAGAGGGTTTTCTGGGCAAGATTCCTGGAGTGGGTTGCCATTTCCTACTCCAGGAGATCTTTCCAACCCAGGGATTGAACCTCTGACCTGTAAATATCGCCACTGATATTCTTTCACTTACAGCACGTAAAACTAGGGAAACTTTGCCCAATTCTGTTTACTTATTTTTAAATTTTTCAGTAATTTTCACTCATTTATGGATGAAGAGCAATATAGAGCAATCCAACTGATTTTTTATTTAGTGCCGTATGTGTACATTACCCATTTTAAATCAACTTCAAAGTAATTTGATTGTAGTCATTATTCAATGAGTTTCTAAGTGACTTCTTTAAAGGAAGAAAATTCAAGAAGTTTGTAAGGGAGATATTAGACCTTTATAGACCTTGTCAGTCTGCAAGCATTAGACTAACCGATCACTCATTAGCTGGGTAAAATGAAGGATAAATAAAAATTAGCACATTTTTCTCAGTGCAAGATTGTGGTATGTGGTCTATGGTATGCACTTGTAGCAAGGTAATTCTTAGTACTTCCAAATTGCACTATTTCACAAACAGATGTTACGACAGAAGTGCCATTTAGCCTAGCTTAAGCAATGGAGATTTATTGGCCCATAAAACTGGGAAGAACCGGGATGGAATGGGCTTTAAATAAATGAGATGTCCTAATCTTGTAGTGTTAACAGAACCCTCTCAACATCTCCTAGCTGTGATTCTCCGTTTCTGTGATGGATGAGCTTTCGTCCAAGTGTAAATGGGTGGTGGTGGTGATGGAGGGAGCTTTTGGAGGATGAAAATACAGTGACAAATCTCAGAATTATCTCATTCAAAAGGGAAGTGAGAAAACACTCTTTTTTAAAGGAATTAATTTATTCATTTGGCTGCACTGGGTCTTAGTTTTGGCATGCAGGATCTTTGGCTGCAGCATGTGGGATCTAGTTCCCTGACGAGGGATTGAACCCCGGCCCCTGCATTGAGAGTGCATAGTTTTAGTCCCTGGACCACCAGGGAGGTCCTGAGAAAACACTCTTCCAGAGCCCTCCCCCTCTGAAGTAGCCCTGTAAGTCATTCACTCTTTGCTCTATCAACTGTTTCCTTCATTGCCTTTATCACAAATAACCTCCAAATAATCTCCTTTACTTGTTTGCTCAGCTGATTATTTTTCCTCTCCACCACAAGGTAAAATCCTTGAAGAAGGAGTATTGCCTCTTTTGTTGGCATCTGTCAGCCATTCAGGAAATAGTAAGGCGACAGGAATGTGAAATTCCAGGGTAGGACTCCGGCCTGCCCCAGGCCATTGTCAGTATGTGGTCTGGAGGGCAGGGAAGTTTGATTACTGGGCATACCAGCGCCTCATAGGCGAGGCAAGTGTAATTTCACATGGGAAATGGAGCTACTGTAAGCTGAAAAGTTGGGAAAAGATGCTGAGGAAACAACAAAAGCACGTGTTTTTTATGCCCTTCGAGCATGGTTTCTGCTTCACTCAGCTTCCCGGTTTGTTGGGTAAAGCCGTGCAGGTTCTGCAGTGCATGACGGTGCTTGGCTGAGGGGAGGGAGTGGGGTTGAAATCCAGCACGAGGCTCCACACCTGTGGCTCCCTTTCTCCAGGAGGCATTGTTTTAAATTTACCCCAAAGTTCTGTCTGGTCTCTGCCCACTGGGCCCGGCTGAATATCTGTGTCTCCATCTCACCTTCTTCATAGCTTCCCTGGAGAAAGAATACCAGGGGCAAAAGTGTGTGAGCTGGATGCATCTGGATCCCACTGGCCAACTCAGTGTAGACTCTATGCTTAGCCATGCCCTGCAGGTATTCTAAGAGAGATAACTTTCTGGAAAATTCCTTCCCCCACCCCCCCTTTTCTCTTCTCTCCATTTTTCTATTTAGGGTTAGTTGGTCAAGTTTCCTGACCATGCATTTTGAGGTGAATGCTGACTGAGTGGTAATATACATACTATTATCTACATTTCTCTGCATTTCCAGTTTGATTACTTTATAATTCTGCTTCAAGAGGAAGAAGAAATTGCCTATGTCCATCACTGGCCCTTTAGTGGAATAGACTGTCTTAAAAGTTTGTTCTGTTTTTTGTTTGATTAGAGATCTCTTTGGGGCAGTGAAGTGCTCACTAATTAAAAGGAGGCAAATTGGAACAGAAACCCACGCAATCTGACTCATGTAAGGCTGCTGGCAATCTCCCAAGTTTCAGACATACAGCTGAGCCTCTTCTTACATGGAAGGCCCTCAAGGAGCCATTCTGTCCTCCTGTCTGGATTGCTTGGTTTCTTCTTGTTTCATTCTGGACATTGTTTCCGTTCATTTGATTCTCTTTAAACACTGAGTTTGTATACTGATCCACCTGCCAGAGGCAAAAATGGCATCTAGTACTTCATCTCATTGGATTCTCTGCAAGTCCACGGAATGTCTGTACTGTAATCACTTGGGGAGTGTAAAGAAAAAAAAAAAAGATTTCTATGCCTCAAACAGATTCTGAGCCAGTAGGTCTGGAGTCCTAGAATCTACATGTTGAGACTTTCCCCCCGCAGGAATTCCCAGACCCGTCTATAATCACAAGAGAAAGCAAGTGAGTGAGTGATGAAGTAGATGAACCAGGCCCTAGCATCCACTTTCCCCTGACATAGCCGCTTTTCTTTTTTCCCTTTGCCACTTCCTGCCATTGATCTTCCTATCCAAGGAGAGGAGATTGGCATTCTAAGAAGCTGAAAACAAATATTGAAGAATAGAATGTTTTTTATCAAAAGCAGTAGTGGAGCAGCAATAGTTCTTAGTCTAGTTTGGTGGGTGAGCAGTCCAGTTAGGCAGTGGGGCTCTCTGTCCCTTATCAAATCAGGGCTAATTAGTTGATCTTGAATGCTCTTGGAGGTGTAAGATAGGGCTGGGTGTTCCTGAGAAACCCTGCAGCCTTAGGCCCACTCTAATAACTTTGAAAACCTCTGTACCTTGGTGGCAGCTATCCAAAGAGTCAGACTTTCTACCTGGGCAGGTGAGATATGACCTCACAACTTCAGTGTCTGTCACTCTCAAACTAGCTTACACTTTAGTTCAGTTGTTCAACAGCATCCGACTCTTTGTGACCCCATGGACTGCAGCACACCAGGCCTCCCTGTCCATCACCAACTCCCGGAGCTTGCTCAAACTCATATCCATTGAGTCACTGATGCCCAACATCTCATCCTCTATCATCCCCTTCTCCTCCTGCCTTCAGTCTTTCTCAGCATCAGGGTCTTTTCCAATGAGTCAGTTCTTTGAATCAGTGGCCAAAGTATTGGAGTTTCAGCTTCAGCATCAGTCCTTCCAATGAATATTCAGGACTTAAGGATGGAAAGCTTACACTGTGTGTCTCTAGTTTAAGATCTTTAGAGAGAGAATCTCATCACTGACTAGCCAATCAGAAACCTACTCTGAGATTGAAGGTCAGAGCTAACTTTGAGAAGGGCATTAAAAACTTACTTTTGGTTGGCTTGCAAAATAGGATTAAGTGATTCTTTGTAATTCCTTTTCATTTTATTTATTTCTTAGGTAACACTATTATATCCCTAAGTCAACTGTAATGATTTTTTTTTTGTTAGAACTACAAATATGACATCAACCTAGTTTTACATGTGAAATAAATACCATGTACACTATTTAAGATATTTATCAAGTAATTTCATGGCAGACATTATCATTGTTTCTTCATATTTTAATAGCAAAATGTATACTGTATTAAGTTGGAGATAAAGTAACAGATATTATTTAATATATTTAAAATATAATGTCATATATTTTACCTTTGTTGTGCTGACATATGGAAATGGTGGTAGCAATTTAATTCTGAGACTTCAGTATAAGTAATGAAAGCCATTACTGTAATAAATTTGTCTTTTGTAGAATTGCAGAGACATTGAAGACATTTGAAGGGCTTCCCTAATAGTTCAGTTGGTAAAGCATCTGCCTGCAACGCAGGAGACCCTAGTTCGCTTCCTGGGTTGGGAAGATTCGCTGGAGAAGGGATAGGCTACCCGCTTCAGTATTCTTGGGCTTCCCTTGTAGTTCAGCTGGTAAAGAATCCTCCTGCAATGTGGGAGACCTGGTTTCGATCCCTGGGTTGGAAAGATCTCCTGGAGAATGGAAAGGCTACTCACTCCAGTATTCTGTCCTGGAGAATTCCATGAACTATACAGTCCGTGGAGTCACAAAAGAGTCGGACATGACTGAAAAACTTTCACTTTGAAGACATTACACGGGTATTAATTACATAAAGTATGCAAAAATAAATACTTTTAACCAAAATAGGCTGCCAAAAAAAGCCGTATGCTATATTTCTGCATCCTAAGCAGTTGCATGGCACAAACCAGTTATGTGTTAAGCCCACAGAGTATAATGTCAGTACCTCAGGGTTCGTTTAAGAACATGTGTATTTTATACCTTTAATTATGAGTTATCAAGATAGTTATTCTGACTTTTAAAAATTATTTTATTTTTCCAGATCCAGTCCCTCTGTGGAACTTCTAAACATCTTCTATTAGTGGAAGTGCTGTTTTCTGCACAATGAAGTCAGCATCTTAATTTACACCAGTGTTCGTGTGGTTCTGATTCATCTGCTCTGGTTCACGAAGCTTGCGATCTAAGGCAAACAGGGTCTTTTGCAATGACAATATGACTAATAGTAAAGGAAGATCTATTATTAATAAATCAAGTGGTGGTCGAAGCAGTGGAGGAGGTTTTGTGGACTGGACTTTAAGTTTAAATACAATTCAGTCTGATAAGTTTTTAAACTTACTGCTGAGTATGGTTCCAGTAATATACCAGAAAAACCAGGAAGACAGGCACAAAAAAGGAAATAGCATTTGGCAAGATGGGTTATCACCTGCAGCGCAGACTTTCAGTAATAGATCCGAACAGCACATGGAATATCACAGTTTCTCGGAGCAGTCTTTTCATGGCAACAGTGGGCACACGCCGTCAAGCTGTAGCCAGAAGTATGATGACTATGCCAACTACAATTACTGTGATGGAAGGGAGGCTTCAGAAACTACAGCCATGCTACAAGCTGATGATGGATCTAGTGACGGTGATGAAGATGTCATTGTGGAGACAAGCCAGAAGTTACCCAAGGAATCCAGTGGTGTCATGGCACTGCAGATCCTTGTGCCATTTCTGTTAGCTGGCTTCGGGACAGTCTCGGCTGGCATGGTTTTAGATATAGTGCAGGTGGGTTTTCATCTTTGTTTAATTTCACTGGCTTTGTTGTTTAAAGTGCTTTGTGTCAGCTACTAGTCTCACACGTTATATTTAGTTTTAATTTATCCCTTAGTTAAAATGAACTGATGCAGACTCTGGTGGAGAATCTGCTCTTTCTAGGTATCTTTTGTTTGTCTTCCTTTAGAAATTTTAAGAGAATTATCTGATTCTGACCATAAAGTAATTCTTCATAAAATATTAAATATAAAGTAATCCCAAATAGGGTAAATCAGCTAAATGAATAATTCAATGTATTTAAATACACCCCTGTTTTAAAAATAAAAAATAATGTATGTTCATTAAAATGAACTCAAACAATGCAGAGTATTAAGTCAACGATAAAAAGTCCTGTTCCTCATCTCCAAATTAAAACTCTCTTCCCCTCTGGAGGTTACCATTGTTAACAGTTTGCTGTATATACTTGCAGACGACTTTTCTTGCTTATATACAAGCATATGTGCAGAGGGTTTTTTTAAAAATAAAAATTAAATTCCGTATGTATTTTTCTCAGTTTATTTTCACTGCTTATTAATATATCTTGGACATGTTTCTAAATTAGTAAAAAGGATATTTAGCATTTTAAAAAGAGTGCTTGATATTTTCATTTTATATATATATATATATATATATATATATATACCAAAATTTACTTATTCATTCTCCTATGCTGGTACTATAACAAATATCCTTACAAATTTATAGACTCATACTAATTTTTTCATAAGATAGATTTTAAAAATGGGATTGTTGGGTATTAGAGCAGGTGTGTGTGTTTAAAATTTCATAGGTATTGTCAAATTGCCTTTCAAAAAGTTTGTACCAATTTGCAGTCCTTCCAGAAATATGTAAATACTTTTATTTTTCCATACCCTTATCAACATTTGTGTTCTTGATCTTTTTCATTTTTGCCAGTTGATAGGAAAATGTTATCCTATTTTAATTAACATTAATTACTATTAATGTTTTAGCCTCTTTTCATATGCTTATTGGCCATTCTTACCTTTTCTGTGAATGCTTCTTATGTGAATTACTTTTTTGTATCTTATCGATTTTTAAGGTGTTTTTTTCTTTTTAATTTATATTTTGTTGAAGGATAATTGCTTTGCAGAGTTTTGTTGTTTTCTGTCAAACCTCAGCATGAATCAGCCATAGGTATACATATATCCCCTCCCCTTTGACCCTCCCTCCCATCTCCCTCGCCACCCCTCTAGGTTGATACAGAGCCCCTGTTTGAGTTTCCTGAGCCACACAGCAAATTCCCGCTGGCTATCTATTTTACATGAGGCAATGTAAATTTCCATGGTACTCTTCCCATACATCTCTCTATTGTTCTGCTGCGGATGCTGGCATGTGGGGAGAGAGAGGCTATGGTGATGGCTCCACCTCCTACGCAGGCCTCAGCAGTATCACCTTGCTTCCATGGCTGCCTGGCTTCCATGCCTTCCACAGGCATTTCCCACCGCAGTCTCCTCCCTCACATCCCCTCAATCTGTCTCTCCACAGTCAGCAGCAGCCCTAGCCCTGGAATTGCTCCACAACTCCAGCTCCCAGCCGCTGAGACTTCCAGGGGACCTGCATCCCTGTCCAGGGTGTGTATGGCTGCGGCAAGGACTGTCTGATTCTCATTCCATTTAGGCCGCCACAGATCAGCCTTAAATGTTTCTCCTCTGACTCAGATAATTGCCCGGATACGGGGATCGGACTCCTGCTTCAGTTCCCCCACCCACTGAGGGCAGGTCCAGTCCTACTAACACTCCTGTTTTCCCCCTAGTTCTTTGTCCTACCAAGTTTTCCGCTGGTCAGGTACTCCCGTCCGCTCTCAGCTGGTATTCTGCGTGAACTTCTGTGTCTGAAGGTGTATTCCTGATGTATCCGTGGAGAGAGATGTACTCCATGTCCACCTACTCCTCCATTATCTTGTTCTTTCTTTTATCCATTTAAAAATGTGTACATTACTTATTTACTTGTAGGAGTTCTTAATGTAGTATTATATAAAGTTACAAAATTACCTGTTATATAATTACCTTTCTAACATAATACATTGTAAAAAGGTAGCATTCTGTTACTATCAATTTTCATTCTTCAGAAAAAGATTGTCTCTAGGAAAGTGTTAGATACATTATCGTAATGTGCCTTTCTCTTCCATTGTTTGCTCTCTAAAGGAAATCTCAGGTCATTTATGACTCTAAGACACTTGTAAACACAAAAGATTTTTATCTAAATGGAAAATGTACATTTTATCTAAATAGGAACATAATTTTTATCCCATCAGGTGGAAAAAAGATATGAAAAGAACTGTTAAGTATATTGAATTTTTGAATAGACTATAATATAATACTAAAGGGGGAACCAAACCTATCTGTCCACTTGAAATATGATTGTTTTAAATTATTACCATAGCATCATAACTGCTAAAATGAATATAATGTTTTGGGTTGACTTTTTTTTCTGACTTTCTGGTGATAGTTATTCAGAAGAAACACTCAATAGTTAGCTGTATATAGCATGTAGGAAAAATACGTTAGTGTGTATAGAAACAGCAACCCACTCCAGTATTCTTGCCTGGAGAATCCCAGCGGCGGGGAGGCTGGTGGACTGTCGTCTACGGGGTTGCACAGGGCGGACATGACTGAAGCGACTTAGCAGCATAGATTGTTAGGTAGCACAGTTCCATAACTCATTATGTCCCTTCTTCTGGTGTGTGCTCACCGATTTCTTGATGTTTGAGAGAAGAGCTTGTGTGTAATTGGGCAAAGTTGCTTCTGTGATTCATAAATTTTTTCCTGATCTGTGTGTGTGTGGCTCGTGCTGGGTCTTCACCGCCGCGCGCGGGCTTCGCTGTGGTTGCCGAGGGCAGGCGCTGCTCTCTGGCTGCAGTGCCCGGGCTTCTCCCTGCGGGAGCTTCCCCCGTTGCAGAGCACGGGCTTCGGGTCCCGGGCTGTGCAGAGCGCGTGCTCATTAGCTGTGCCCAGGCTTCGTTGCGCCACAGCCTGTCGGATCTTCCCGGATCAGAAATCAGACCCGTGTCTCCTCATGGGCAGGCGGACTCTTCACCGCCAATCCACCAAGGAAGCCCTTGCTTTTATGATTTTACGAACGTTTAACACTGCTAGCCCTAAGCACTTCATAGTGTTAAACTTTGCTGTTAAAAAGCATGAAGGTATAAGGTAAATGTTTTGAAAGATTTAATTTGGTGAGGTTTTCAAAACTTATTAGATTGTGACGTTTAAAATATATAGAGTGTAAGAAGCAGAAATATACAGCTCAGTGAACTATCATGACACAAATAACCGTATGACGGTCACTTGGGTCCACAAATGGAATCTTACCTGTATTTCATTAGTCTTCATCGGTGCTCCCTTACAAAAGCTTTTCTTTTTTCTCCATCACCAAAAATAATCAATAACCTGATATTTCTCAGTACTTTTTTGTCTTTATAAGTGTGTATTATTAAACACCATTGCTTGGGTTTACTTAATTCTTTTTTAAAATTTATGCAGTGGAAGTATGGAGCATACCTTTATGCTTGGGTTTTTTTGGGTCAACATTTATGTAAGTTTTAGAAAACTGTTGGTCATTTATTTTTACTGCTGTGTTGTAATCCAGTGTATAAATACATCACAATTTATCCATCCTGCTGTTTTCTTCAGTGCACCCTGCTGTTGATGGACTTCGGGCTGAATGGTGTTTCCAGGCTCTTGGTGTACTTCTGCATGCATTTCTCTTGGGTAGATAGGTAGAAATGGAATCTCTAGGTCTTAGAATATGCAGGTATTTAAATGTAGTATTTGTCAAATGGTTTTCCAAAGTGGTTGTACCAATTTACAGACAAATGTAGCCGTATATGAGCAGTTCCGCTGTCCCATACTATTATTTATACAAGGTATCAGCAGTCTTTTTTTAAATGATTTTGTGGTGTTGATTTTCTCTAAGTTGTGTCTGACTCTTGTAATGCCATGGACTGTAGCCTGCCAGGCTCCTCTGTCCATGAGATTCTCCAGGCAAGAATACTGGAGTGGGTTTCCATTTCCTTCTCCAGGGGATCTTCCCAACCCAGGAATTGAACCCGGGTCTCCTGCATTGCAGGCAGATTCTTTACCAACTGAGGTACAAGGGAAGTCCAAAATGATTTTAATGTACTTAGGTGTTTATTTTTGACTGTTCTTGGTCTTTGTTGCTTGGCTGGCTTTCGCTCTAGTTGCGGTGAGTAGGGGCTGCTCTCACTGTGGCGTGCGGGCTTCTCACTGCGGTGGCTTCTCTGGCACGGGCTCTAGGGCGCGCAGGCTTCAGTAGCCGCAGCACGTGGGCTCAGCAGCGCTCCAGAGCACAGCCCTGGAAGTTGTGATGCACGGGCTTTGTTGCTCCGTGGCACATGGCATCTTCCCAGATCAGGGATTGAATCCATGTCTCAGGTGGATTCTTTACCAGTGAGTCATCAGGGATGCCCTAGCGGTCATTTTAATTTTAGAAATTCTGGCATATGTGGGGTGGTATCTCATTGAGGTTTTAAGTGGGATTTTCCTATGATGATGTTTGCTGATCATTTGTGTATCATTGGTGAAGTTTCTTTGCCCATTTTCGTATATAGTTGTTTGTCTTTTTTTTATTATTGATTTATAGGAGTTGTTTTTATATTATAGATGTAAGCCCTTTAGTGAAAGTGAAAAGTGGAAGTGTTAGTCGCTCAGTCATGTCTGACTCTTTGTGACTCCGTGGACTGTGGTTCGCCAGGCTCCTCTGTCCCTGGGGATTCTCCAGGCAAGAATAGTGGAGTGGGTAGCCATCCCCTTCTCCGGAGGATCTTCCCAACCCGGGGATCAAACCCAGCTCTCCTACATTGCAAGCAGATTCTTTACCATCTAGCCACCAGGGAAGCCCCAAGCCCTTTAGTTATATGTAATACAAATATTACGCACCAACCGCCGGCCCGCCCACCCGCCCCGCCCCCCGCACCCCGCGGCTTGCTTTTT